TTCTGTGATTCTGTTCTTTTCCCAACTCAACCTTAGACCTAACTGAGTGAACTGAGTGAAAACTGTCAGTATAATATTTAAATGTTGCCACTGACACAACTGCCTTTCTTCTTTGGGCTCCTAACTGTCTGAATATGCTATTTTCCTAAATCTAGTTGTTAAGCAAATACAAATTCAACTAATCTAAACAAACGCTAACCTCTAATGTCTTTTGACAGTCCGATTCCATCAAAAACTAACCCAACCTAACTCTGGACCAGGAATTTGTTCTCAGATGTGTTATTTTCTAAATGTTTGATGTACTCAAGCCATGCAGTAATGCATGGAAGAAAGTTTTGACAGTGATTTACCCTGTTTGTATCTCTGTGAGATTTGCTGTAGGCAATGCAATTGTTGTGATTTCCCCCTTTCTGTACTTTTTAGTTCTTTTTGGGTGTATGCGTGTGAAATGTGGTTAAACTTGTGGTGATGGCAACAGCAGGTGACAGATGCTTGCAACCAGGCTGAGGGGCATGCTTCTCCAAACAAAGAAGTCTGTAGCTTTATTGTATTGCTAGCTGCAAGTCCTTACCTGATATTGTGGTGCTGAAGACAAGGTTAGGTGAGAGTTCCAGCTCAAGGTCAAGAAGCTGCTGCAGCTTGGATGGAAACTGCTCCGGGTACATAAAATTGAGGAGCTGGTGCTCATAAGCAGACTCAGCGTGGCAGGCCTGTAATCTCAGTGGGCTAATGTTGATAGGGTTAGTTTCAGAGGCTAGAGAATAGCAATAAATAAGGCAGAGTGATCTTATTGGAAAGGGAACAAAAAATTATAGTGGAGGTTGTTGCCCTAATGGGTCCAGACTCCATGGCTTCGTTCAGCTTATGAAACTTGAAGGCTGAGTTATACCTTTTACTCGCTCTTAAACTCTTGATTGCTTGTGGTACCAAAAACGTACTTTCTCATACTTGAAACTATAATAACATCCCTTAGCTTTGACTGTTTCAGGAACATGCCAGAAGTGTATTCTGTGTTTTGTTTGTATCATTTACATCATTACATGTACAAGCAAACAGGAATATATACAATATTAAAGTTTGGCAGTTATTGTTGGAAATGGAGTTCCTGTAGTTTCCCCTATTTGCATAGTTTATACCAAGGAAAGAAGAATTGCAGTGGCTAGGAAAGATCGGATTAAGATCAGAACAGAACCAGGAGAAAGTAGTTTGTGCTAGCTTTTGCTAACTCTCCACTGGTTAGTCCAGCCCACAGGAGTCCAATGTTCACCAGGGCAGCATGGGTCCTTGGTCCAACAAGGAGTGCTTGAGGGCATGAAATGTGAAAGAAAAGTAAGAGCTTCTTGAAAGACTCTTCTGTTCTGATATCTGAAATTAACATGCATCTTCTCGGTGGCTCCATTTGGAGAATATCCATACCCAAGAAAATAGCTGTCCACTGTTGTATGGAGGGTTTTCTAGGTAATCCTTGTAGCTGGTCCTGTGCCAATGAAAACACTGACGTGGAAATTAATGTTATTGTTCAATTAACTAAACATAATGGAGCAGAAATTTAGGCCCAGTACATAGGCTCCCATTAACAGTGATTTAGAAGATGTTTGCTTTGACGGCTTTTCTTCCCCTTGCAAACATTTGCTTTGCAACGTCTGACATTGGTTATGTAATGTTTGCTCTCATGTGTAGGTGTAAAGTAGCTGTAAACATTTTGTTCATTCTCCTGTGGTTCATCAACGTGATTTTGTTTCTGTGTTATATTACCAATAATATAGAACATATTTGATTATCTCTGTTTTTCCATATCTTGGAAAAATGAAGCAAGTTGCAATCTTTTTATGTGAGCAGAAACGATTTTAGAGGGTTTTTCATGTCAAAAGCTTTGATGTCAGAACATGTTTTGAATTATTTTTTTCCTTTCTATGCAGATCACTAGTTTTCCTTGCATTTCCACTTGCTAAAATACAGCAAATAGTTCTATTTTATGTATTATCTCAAGCGATTCAGAAGACTGGGAGCATTACACAGAACAGGAAGGAAAAGCCTATTGAGGAAGTAGCTCTTCATTGCTGGAGTTCAAAGTTGTTGTTAAATGCAGTATTTCAATAGGTGTTTCTCTGTCTTGTTTCTGCTGGTTGCAGGAACTAAGAAAGCCTTGGATATCTCAGCCCTTTGTGGGTTGCTAGATGCTACGTGCAGGTCAGCAGTGACCCACACATCAGCTGTCCATGCCTGCTGGACAAGGCAGGATCATGAGAGCTTCCAGGCACCACAAAAACATCACCTGAGCTGTCTATCTCACAGAAATCTGCTTACTTCTTCCCAACCCCTCCTGCTTTTTGTTTGTCAGATGTGGACTTGTTGGGTTGGTTTTTTTTTGAAAACAAAAAATGCTTATAAATTATAATGTCTATAAAATACTTTTATAAACATGACATCTCCTGTATATCCTAGATCTGAATGTAGGAGCTGCTGAAACAGTCAGAAGGAATGTAGGAGAAAACTAAAGTTTATTTATATGTTTGCTGTTAACTGTTAACAGCATAATGGTGTATTCAGTAATTGTAATGGGTTGTCTTTCTATCTAAGCAGAAAGATAATTATCAACATATGAATCAGCAGCAAAATATTTACAGTGAAAATGGATGTCAGGGCTCTAGCATTTGTACCTGAGGAGGGTACCTCACTGAAGTGAGGCTGCTGAGACAAGCTCCTTCAGGCTCTGTGTCAATGGAGCATCTGGAGAGCCAAAGGAGTGCCTGAGCAGATCTGAGCGGAGGAGGCAGGGTTCTGCCTGAGCAGAAGGGTCCTGGTGTATTTTTGTATCCAAGTGGTATCCAGAAGTAGTAAAAGAATGCAAAAAGTTAATGGAAAGGTCTTGCATGTCTCGTGTCAGAGAAGCCATTCTTCTGATACATTATGTAATGATGGCATTCCAGAGAAACTGGAAGGTGAACTATTTTATTGCTTGGTCTCTCCTGAGAATGCTAAACTGTATCCTGATTGGAACTTAGTGCAAAACATTGTTCTTAACAGAACAATATTTTTTTAGACTTACCTCATTACAGTTGCTGTTAGATTTATACTTAAAGCTAATTATTCTATATGAACTAGACTGAAAAACAGGTGAAACCTCAGTTTCTCTGTATTTTTTATGTGCTATACCCACGCCTGTACAAAAGAGTGATTGTTGCTGTTGTTGCAAGCCCTACTTACCTTTAAAGGAGAGATGCTTTAAATTTGCAGTGAAAAGGCATTTCCTCTAGTGATAACTTGTAAAAAGTTATTTTAAAAAGATGTTTCTGAACTGATCATTTCTTGGGAAGGATCTGGGAGAGGTCAGAATGTTAGTTCTCACCAGGTTACTTGCATGGCACGAGCTGTAAGCCATAGGGTTAAGAAGAAACAAACCCTCCCATATATTTGCAGTGATCCGGCTAGGAAATACTTGTGTTGAAATATCTTGGAATTTTGTTTTTCAAAGAGTTTTCCTTGAAATCAAGTGAATAATTTAGTCAATGCACAGAAAAGTACTTTTCTGTACAGTTCATATAATTTTCATTCTCTTTTTTAAACTTATGGGTTTCTGTGTGGCTCAGTGCAACTGGTAGCAGTAAGTGGTATAGGTTTTACATCTGGTAAAATGTTTCTAAAAGCAAACTATTAATGGCTAAGTAAAGGTGAGTCTGTGTCAGGAAGAGAGGTCTTCTAAGTCCATTTAGTGATCATGCCTTGTTTGTTGAATCTACTTAATGATTCCGTGTGACTTGCCTGACATCATCATAAAGCCCTGTTGAGCTTCATTCTCCTCGCAGCAAAACCAGGGGAGCAGTGACTATCTGCCTCACAGCTTGTGTGGGTTAGCCTTAAAGCAGTGAAGGTGCTCAGTGAATGCACAGAATTACATGCTGCGTACACTTTGCATATGAGATGATGCTATCATCAGATGCTTGGTATCCACGTTATCGCTGGGGAAGAGCATTTGTCATGCAGTCACCTTATAAATGAGCATGATCTTTACCTATGCTATATTTAGTAATATTAATGTTGATTGGTCTGATGTGTGCTACTGTATTATTTGTTCTGTGTATTTAAAATCGGACTGTCTGGCAGGATCTCAGTGGATCTCCTTTTGGCTGTTCATCATGGTGGACCCAAGTGCTTCTCTTGGAAGTACACTGGATTGTGCGGCAGTGTGGAGCATTTCTGCTGGGCTGGGGAGCAGGCCGGGAGCTGCAATAGGGCAGGTTCAGCTCCCTGTGGCACAGGTGTGTAGCACTTGTGTCATAAGCAAGGTGTGTGAACAGCAATACTGAAGGAGGTGGTATGGACACTAAGCATCGTCTGCAGCACGGGGGTTAACATGGCCTCCCTCATCAAGGAAATAATTATTTTCACTGCTCTGAGAAAATTGCCTTTTAAAAAATGAATCTGGTGTCCAACAAAATCGTTAATGTATGGATGCTTGTTGCTTTTTACTTTGATTAAAAATGAGCTGTGCAACGTATTAGGTGCAGTATGGTAGCCAAATTCTACTTCAGACTGTGATGTACAGTTTTAATGACAGTTCTGCAAGGGCCAATCACTGTGTATTCTTTATACAGGCAACACTTAATGAAGTATACACATTACTAATGTCCATCCTGCAGAGAAATGAGCTGTGAAAAAATTCAAGCAAACATGTTCCAACTGTTCATACAAAGGATTGCATAAGTCACGCATTGTGTTTCCACAAAACTTTCCCCACAATTTGCTGCTGATCAGCATGTACTTCGGTTACTTTCCTCCAATTAAAATTTGCAAACAGACCAGCTTTCCAGTGCTAACAGAGATTCGGAGCCACGTGTTTCAGGAATGGCTGGGCACGCCACACCGATACAATATAAAGGCAACGTTAATCACCTTCTCTCTCACTTTTTAATAGCTCCCTTCTATGGTTCTCATTCTCCCTCAGTAGAGACTTAAAAGAACTTTATTATATTTCAAATACAGTTTAATCAGTTTTAATCATGGATCTCCTTCATAGCAATGGAGTGCTTATCATTCAGCATTTACAGAGAGACTACAGGGCTTATCAGGATTTCCTTAATTTTATGTCACATGTTGGAGATCCTCGGAATATATTCTCATTTTATTTTCCTCTTTGGTTTCAGCTCAACCAAGTGGTTGGTACTAAAATGATATGGGTGGCAGTCATTGGTGATTGGTTCAACCTGATATTTAAATGGTAAGAAGTTGTATTTATTCTAAAATTTGCTATCTCTATGGTTTCTATATGGTTAGCATATGTTCCTCAAGTTTGGAAAGTGTTCTGTGGATGGTGTAGGGGTAGACTTTTCCCCATAATTTAAAATAAGGTTTCACGATGAAGATTTTTAATGGAAGTTTGAAATGAAATTTTGCTAGGACAAGAACCTATAGCACTGTTATACAACAATTTTGCCAGTATAGTCTTTTGTGTTTGCTGTAATGTTATTGATCATGCTTTGCTGAGGTGTTCTTAGATAAAAATCTTTTTATTGCATTTCTTCTTCATTTTATTTTATTTTATTTTCTGTTAGGATTTTATTTGGTCATCGTCCCTACTGGTGGGTGCATGAAACAATGATTTATCCCAATCAGTCAAGCCCATGCCTTGAACAGTTTCCTATAACATGTGAAACTGGACCAGGTAAGAAATGTTGGAGATTGCACTGAAACATTTAATATGTATGGTGGCTCTGGGGGTAAGTAGAGGATGTGACTTAAGATGATTCTGTATGGTATTAAAAATATGAAGTAGCCTATGGATACTTAATTTCTAGAGTATATGCTGCAACCCTGGGAGGAGTTCTAGTGTTCATAACAGCAAGGTAACAGTTCAAGTTCCAGCATGAATATTTGTTGAATTAGGCCACTGGCTACTCAGATTTACACAGATGTCTTCAACTAGCTCAGGTATGCCATAACTTGATGTATATGAAAGAAATACAGCAGTTTGGCACGTTCCATGTAAGTGTGTTGCTGCAGAAAAAGATAAATATTACTTGTTATCTCATGTTCTTTATATTGCAGTGACTCTTTGGGGAAAAATAATATTGAGTACTGTAAAAATATGACAATTTTGTAAAGACATTAGTATTCCACTAGCAAATAAATGCTCTGTTTTTTAACCACAGTCCAAGTGATGGAAAAATGCTATGCTTTCTGATCAAGATACTGGCTCATGCTGGTATAGAATGGGTAATCTGTTACCTGCTTGATTACTGGCAAATATTCTAGATTAGAAATAGATCAATCTGCTAAAAAAATTATATTGAGAAAACAAACTTGAAAAGTAGTTAATATTCTTTCTGCCTTTGGTTTTTCCTGAATCATCAGATGCCTGAATAACTGCCAGTAGACATTTTCTGTATGCCTGTTACAGTCATCATTTCTAAGCTTAAACTTTTCCTTTTTGTTTTTATTAGGGAGCCCATCTGGACATGCCATGGGATCTTCCTGCGTCTGGTATGTAATGGTAACAGCAGCACTTAGCTACACAGTGAGGTGGAAAGAGAAATCAGCAATTACCCTTCACAGGTCAGTATCTTTCCATTATGGTAACTCTTACTGATTTCTGTTATCATGTTATGCTTTTAACGGACTTATTCTAACCAAATATTCATAGTAGGTTTTATCCAGTTTGTTTAAAAAAAAAAAAAAAGAAAAAAAAAACACAAACAAAAGCAAAACACTGCAATGTACTTCAACTGAAGACAAAGAATATTAAGAAAAGTTATGCATTTCTATAGGTCAGTATTTAATAACTTACACACATTACATCACGATCTCCCTGAATCAGCCTCCTATTAAAGACTGCATCAGGTCTTTAGTGTCAGAAATGTTAAATTCTGTCAATTTTTTACATGTTGGATTTTTTTCTTCTTTTTAATACTGAGTAAATTTACTGCTTCCATGGTAGTCATTCTTACCCTATTTGAAAGCAAACACGCACTGCTAGCTCTTCAGCACGATGGGGAAGCCCTGTAACGTAAACTTTGGTGTCTGTGCTTTCCAAGTTTGGCAAGGCTGTCCCTGTATTAAACTAAATTAATGATATTTTGTGTTTGAATGTGCCTTTATGATGCTAAAAATGTTCAAAGCAATAGTTCTAATTTAGCTTGCCTTTCATCACTAAAATATGATAGTGTCAAAATCTGAAACTACTGAAGTCAATTCTTGCAGCCCTGGATGTGGCTGCAAGTTAACTAACTACTCTTGCTAGTATTTTAGTACTGACTTCCAGTCTTTAATCCTATGATTCTAAACTTCTCTACTTGTAAATCTCTGCTTGGTTAAAATATGAGCCTGACACAAATGCACCTGATGTAAATTATGAGATGAAATATCAGCATTTTTAAGCGTCTTTCTTCTTCCTCCTAGACTGACACGGTCATTACTCTGGACTATTTTTTGGATTATCCAGATCAGTGTGTGCATCTCAAGAGTATTCATAGCAACACATTTCCCTCATCAAGTTATTCTTGGAGTATTTGCTGGTAATGTTGCTAATTTTTCTTTCCTTCACATATGCAAAATCCAAAAATTCTGAAATATGAGAAAAGGCAAGAGATTTTGAGTAATGCTACTCAATATGCATTTCTCGTGGTACTCTGCAGTCTCTGGAAGATAATAGTCTAATTGTGAAATTTGCAAACTGTGTAAGGCAGTATGTGTCTGCTGTCTTTGTAGTCACAACCTGTGTAAGAACTGCTGTTGAAATCTGCATTGCTGTGCCAGTCTTTGAAATTTTCTTCTAGAAAAGGAATGTTCAAGTTTACCTCTAGTTTTGCAAAGGTTGTCATGTGGGTGATGCAGTCTGGCCTAACGCATGTCTTCTATAGGAAAAAAAAAAACAACACCTGGTGCTTGGCATTTAACCCTTCTTTTCCAAACCTAGCAGTTTTGAGAGAAAAGTCTTTCCATCTACCACAGAAGTGGTAAATTGTGTGTATGTGAATACATTTGTATCTATGTGTATTTCTATAAATGCATGTGGATACATATGTATATTCTGTCTTCAAAAGCCAACTCCTACAGGGGCACTGTAAGAAGTACTTAGTAATTAGTGTGTTGTTCCCTGTAACACTGACTTTCTTATCCACAGGAATTGTTGTGGCAGAAGCATTTGAGCACACTCCTGCTATTCAGACAGCAAGCTTGAGAATGTACATCAAGACAAACTTGTTTCTTTTCATCTTTGCCCTTGGTTTTTACCTAGTCCTCAAGCTTCTTGATATTGACTTGCTGTGGTCTGTCCCAAAGGCCAAGAAATGGTGTGCCAATCCAGACTGGATAAACATTGACACAACTCCCTTTGCTGGACTGGTGAGAAATTTAGGTGCATTCTTTGGCTTAGGTATTGGTATTAATTCAGAAATGTTCATCACCAGCTGCAAGGGTAAAAACAGCTGTAAGATAAGTTTCCGTGTATTGTGTATAGCTGCTTCTTTAGCTACACTACAGCTGTATAATTTTGTTAAGATACCTACTCACACTGAGTATTTGTTCTACATTCTCTCTTTTTGTAAGAGTGCAGCTATGCCTCTGACTGTAGTCGCCTTGGTTCCATACTGTGTCCACACGTTAATGAGGACAACTGATAAGAAATGTAATTAGATAAGGTTTCCAAATGGTTGCAAGTGCAAGGATATGAACTGTTCAAGAGCCCTCCACAAAGGCAGTTCTAACTCATGTTAACCAAGGGGGATGCCACTGCACCTTTGATGTGCTCCTGGTAAGTAGTCTGTATATCCCAAATCAGTGCGTTCAAGAATGGTTTTGGCAGCTCAGAAATATTAAGTAGTTGCTGACTTTATTCCTAGAAGCATTGCAATGAAGGATGCTGCAGTATGGTTTTCTTAAAGTAAAGTATAGCTTTATTCAGCTACTAATAATAGCTTATTAAAGTAAAGGCTAGCTTTATTCAGCTACTTGGTCACCTTTTTGTTCTGTCCATTGCCAACTAGATGGTGCTTTGGGCCTCAGTGGTATATAGTGGTACACAATATTTAATTTTTTAACATGTAGATGTGTGCTAAACTGCTAGCTAATGGAGTGACAGTATTACACCACCTGCAACTGTACAACTGTCCCCGAGCACTGCGAAAAAAACCAATGCAGTTATCAGGAAGATTTCTATAGGTCTGTCTTCTTGCGCTTCCCGAGCTAACAGCTTCTGCTTAAGCCAGATGCAAAAAAAAAAATAAAAGAAAATTTGTTCCAATTAGACTCTGTAGAATATATTGTTGCATTACTGTGACTTTTGAATTTTTTACTTTTAAAAATGATCATATAAATCATGAATGATAATGATTACACTTTTGATGTTGAAAATACATGAGTTTGATGTAGTAAATATTGTAGTGCTGCACGTCTACATAGAGCAACAAATATAGAAAGCTGTCAATCACTAAACTAGCTCAGCATACTCCCTCAAGAATGTTGTTCATGCTCCTGTATTGCAAGTGTAAATTAGTTTAATTCTGTCATTTCAAGAGTCACACATCAGAATCAGTTACTGCTTCTGAAAATCATGAAAATGGGATTGAAGAGTAAGCTTGGCTTATGCACAGAAGTTACTAATATGCTAAATGTAAATTTATTACGTAGAACTGGCATTCTATAAATGGAAAGCCACATGCTTTCCCTTTTTTTCCCTTTTTGTTCACTATTTGTCACCTACTGTTGCGTATTTACTTTCACTGCCCAACCTCTAAGCAATATCATCCTTACAATACTGAGTATGCATGCAGCGTAAGGCTATAAAATAGGTAATGAGGGCTGTGTGTGTGTGATCTGATAGCAGTACAGCTTAGAAGATGTTAGCATGGTATTGCTTTGAACTTCCAGTTAGTAGTGGGATGTAAATAATCTTATTTAATTAGGAAAACGAGGCAAATTTTATTTGTCCCTTGGGAGTTCACATAATACAAATTTCAGGGAGATTCTTTCTTAAAAGCCTTCTAAGACTACTTTGACATTTTAAAAGTTTTTAACAGTCTGAAGAGTGCTCTGCTTTACATAACTGCCATTGTTGTCTTTAATGATTCTCTGAACTCTTCTCTCACAGCATGTGGCTTGAAACCAACCTTATCTATAATTACGAGTCTTTAAAATTTAAGCAAGTATGACTAAGCTAATGGGACTGGAAACAAATAATGAAGAACTAAAAGACAGCTCTGGCAAAGATTTCTCCTACATTCAGTTTGCTCTTCAGTGCTTGGTTATTCCCTAGTAGAATGTAACATACAAAGCGCTAGAAGGTTGGTCTAGCTGTCCTTCTGTCTGTCTATCCTGGCCAGCAGTAGGAGATGCTCTATACATAGCAATCTGGCTATTGCAGCAATGTTTGCCCCTATTGGCAATGTGAGCAGTCTTAAGAGAGGAATTACGAGTAGACACATTTCATGCTATGTGAGGGTCTGCACTTTGTGGTACTGACAAAGATTCTTGGAACCAGTATTAGCATTGACAACCACATGTGTAGAATGACAACTAACAGTTCTGCAGTATTCTTTTATACAGCATGTAGATGCATAAGATGAAAACAAGCTCACTTGTCTTCTTGGAGCTTCCTATTAATTCAGCCTGCAACCACAGTGCTTCAGGGAAAGGGACCAGCTTCCTGTCTGAACCATCTCTTATTTTTTTCTGAAACTACTGAAATATTACTAAAACTAAGCATGATGGGAAAACTGAATAAATGCAGTTAGTTTCATTTTACCTATAACTTCATAAGTTAAACTGTTGATATGGCAGTAGAATAGGCATTTTCTGAGCAGCTGTAGTGTGTTGGGCTACAGAGTTTTGCGCTTCTGCCTTAAAGAATCTCAACAGAGGGCTCCCAAAACTTCAGACTGGCTAGCTCTTTCTAGAGTGGTGGGATAAACAAATGTCAGATCAATCTTGAGATTTTGACAGAATTAGTAAATGAGGAGTTGGCCATTTCATTGATACAGAAAAATAAGTCTATGTGTCCCTTAGGCTTTAGTGAATTTACCACAGTTGAAAATTACACCTCAAGCCTTCTTTAATAAGGAGCTTCTTTAATTTAACTAGGAGCTTTCAAGTTGTTAAACATTGAAAGTATAACTTCATCAGGCTTTTGTAGCTGTTTTAAATTAACTTTCTGTATAACGAGAAAGCGCTTACCTGATTCTCTTGCTCTCAGTAATGGGGTCCCAGGAGAAAGTTAATCTTTTATTCTTGACTTAGAGATCTTCTAAATGGGATAATGCAGTGCCAAAAGTCCTTCTGCAGAAAGATCCTGAAAGATTCTTACTAACCTGTAGCTGAATTATGTGAAGTAGCAGTTGAAAAGGCAAGTGATCCTCACTCCTCCTACAAACTAGCTCTCAAGCTGGCACTGCATCCAGTTCACAATGCTTATTTTCACCAATAAGCAGCTTTTCTCTTCCTCCCTCTCCTCCTTCCTGCCTAAACATTCTTCCCTCTGCTCAGACATGTCACTCTGACTGCACCTTAGTCCCTTCACACAGGTACTAAAGGAATTTACAATCAACTGGTTTCAATTGCACACAGCTACAAAATGGCAGGAGGTGGCAACCAAGAACGGGCAGGAGCAATGCAACTTTTGTATACTGTGAGTACCTTCTGTTAGCAAGTATGTCTGTATAATACATAACTCCCAATATGTATCAGTCACCTAAAAATAGTTACCTCACTGAGAAGAGCAGCTTAATTAGCAATTGTACCACCCAGCTGGGCCCAGGCTAGCATAGCTTCATTGGCCTTCTCAACAGTTCTGTACTGCAGAGCAGATCTTTGCTACAGACATTAGCTAAATACATTCAAATATTTGCTGTCTGCTGTGGATACTGAAGGGTAAGAGATGCTAAAGCACAAGGCAGTAAGAAATGCCAGTCATTCTGTAGATAGTTTCACTCCTGAGTCCCCACATCTAATTACTGCTTTGAAACATAAAAAGGCTATGATAATTAAAACAGAAGGTTAATAATGAACTTCCTTGTTCATTTGCAGTTAGTGACCAGAACACAAATTTCTTTGGGACAAATAGCACTTCAAAGTCAATTATGTGGTTTCACAAGATTCTGATGAAGGCATTCTGTAAGTGGAATTGCATAAATCTGGAAATTATTTTTTGCTGCATGGAATTAAGACATGGATCCTACTGAAGTTTTCAACCTTCCACCTTTATTTAAGTTTTAGCAGTTGTACTATTCCATAGTTTTATAATATATAGTTTTATGGGGTGACTTGTTACAAAGTGGGGGAAATCTACACACGTGAACTGCAGATATCAGGATGTTGAGAATTACTTTTCCAGTTAATACTCTACCTTTCCAAATCAAGATTTAAATTTTAATACTGTAATTTGTCTCAGTATTCCCAACCAATACTTAGTAAACATATTCCAGGAAAACAAGTTAGTAGTACTTATTTAAAAAACTTTTACAGATACAAGTCTCTGGCAGAGGAAGATACTTCCTGATCTCTGTTGTTCTATTTCTTAGATCTGCTTCATACAAACAGCTAGTTAATTATGGCTAAAAATTCATAATTTTTTTCACTTTTACCATTTCTGTAAAAAATAATTTCCAAAGGCATTTCTGTGCCTTCTGAAGAAAAAAACACAACACATTATCTATCATTGTCTCAATAGAAGTGATTTAAATAACTGTGCCAATCAATTACCTGTAGGATTTTACATTGATTTATCTAAAGCGTTTGTTGATATTCAAAATCTATTTGGCAGCTTTGGTCAGAGCAGCGTGTAGGAGAACTGAGACTTACCAGGCTATATTCCTCATCTGAGTTATTTATTTCCTTACTGTTGTGAAGCTGCCTTCTTTGTGAGCACTGGTTTTACTGGAAGGGTACTGCTACGTCAAGCTGAGGGCTCCATGTGTTCGCTCTGTACCCAGGGGCAACCTGGCCTCTTCCAGCATCACAGCTGAAGTAGGCATGGAATGAAGTGGTGCAAAGGGTCAAAGCTTTGTACCCAGGAGGAGGGTATCTATTATAATCCTCACTAGAGCAGAACATCAGGAGGAATTTGAACCCTTCAGTAATACACTTTTGTGCTTGGGATTGTTTTTTAATTCATACAGCTTACCTCAAGAAGTGGCAGTTTCCAGGACATCAGAATGGATTCTTCCTTGACTGCTAATTAAGGGAGGGACTGAACTATACAGTCTGACTGCAGGCGGTGCCAATTTCCCAGCTCACCAGTGAACATCTTCCTATTTTCAGGTTTTCTCTCCCTTTGCAGTTGGCTGAGAACTATTTCCTGAATGTATTAGCCTATGCTTAACCCCCTCCATGTGCCCAATCAACTGCTTAAC